GAATTTTGATTAAAAACTAAAACCATAACTGAGTTTTTGAAAAGAGAAAGACTACGCCAATTATTATCAAATTCCGTCTGAATTATTATTACACATCGATTACGGTAATTTAGCTAGACATGGAAATAGAAATGGTAATACATAAATAAAAGCAGTAATTAATAACATGCATCATAATGAAAATTGCAATTGCGATTAAAATTGAAAACCTGTAAATATTCCAATTGGCCTTTGGGCAGATCCTCCACAATGTTGGCAGGATTCTGGTCTTTGTGCCAATTGATCGTACAAGGGAAATGGGAATTACTAAATATCAAAGAATACAGAGAAGGAAAAGAGAAACAAATAAGAATATAAGAACGGTAAGGTTGCTCTGAAGATGAATTGGCAGCACTTCGTTGTCTTGAATGCCGCCCCTTTTTCAGGTCCCAACCTCTTCCTTTTATAGAGGGAGAGTATCTAACGGTTATTCCTTCAGGAAGTGGATTTGAGGCAGAAAAGTAGGAGTTAGTGGCCACACTTTTGGTCTTTGAGGGGGGAATTTTGCACGTGACTTCATTCTGCACGTTCTGGCTGCATGACGGTCGTCATGGAAGTGTGACGGTCGTCACACGCATGACGAGCGTAACGGCTGTGTGACGGTCGTCACATCAGTGAAGCTCGTTTCTGCTGTTTTTCTCTTGGTTTTTCATCCATTTTTCACTTGTTTTGGCTCCTTTTCTTCATATTGCTTTGCTTGGACATGTTCTTCGAATACCTGCATAATACTTAGACAAATAGCATGGAATGCCCCGAATTCGGAGTGAAATCGGTCAAACATTAGTTAAAACACATGTCATTTTATATATACATTTTCACGTTATCAGATATGTCTTGATTTCCATCATACGAGTCCTCTGGAATATCTTCATCTGGACCCCTGGTAGCTAAAGGCACTGTGAAGCCCTTAAAAAGCAGGCCTTTCTTGATGATATTGTCAGCAATTTCCCCCATGGATTTGTTTACATATGTTGTGCCTTCCTTGTTCAGCATGCTCTTAAGTCGTTCTTCAGTGAGAGGAGAATACTCGCGCTTTGGTTTCTCAGCCGTGGAAGGCTTTTCTTTGGAAGAATTGGGAGGAGATTTGGATGAAGATCCTTCAACATGGGAAGACATTTTGTTATTGAGAACAGAGATCTGATCCAAATGTTGAAGGGTAATGAAGGCACAGAGGCACATTTTCCTGGAATAGAGAGTTTTATTGGTCAAGCACATGGACTGCATTGAAATGTTAAAACTCTCACGTGCCATTAATTGTCATGCCTCCTCATACATGCAAATGCCCAATTTTCCTCTGAGATTTTCAAACTGAGCAGCATCCAGAGCTTTTGTGAAGATGTCAGCTAGTTGTAGCTCAGTGGATACATGCTCCAAGGAAACCACTTTGTCCTCCATAAGGTCTCTTATGTAGTGATGCCTTATATCAATGTGCTTAGTTCTGTTGTGTTGGATAGGATTTTTGGAAATGTTAATAGCACTAAGATTGTCACAGTATAATGTCATGACATCCTGGGTGACATTATATTCAGTTAACGTTTGTTTCATCCAGACCAGCTGTGAGCAGCTGCTACCAGCTGCTATGTATTCAGCTTCAGTAGTTGACAATGAGATAGAATTTTGCTTCTTGTTGAACCAAGATATTAGGTTATTTCCCAAGAAGAAGCATCCACCAGAAGTGTTTTTTCTATCATCAGCATTGCCAGCCCAGTCTGTATCATAGTATCCAGACAAAACAGGTACACAGCCATGAGAGTAGAGTATGCCATAGTCACAGGTTCCATTCACATATTTGAGAATCCTTTTTACTTGGTTCATGTGACTCACTTTAGGATCTGCTTGATATCTAGCACAAACCCCAACAGCAAAAGCAATGTCTGGTCTGCTCGCTGTTAGATGTAGCAGACTGCCAATCATGCTTCTGTATAGCCTTTGATCAACACTGGTACCACTTTCATCTTTAGTAAGCTTTAGATGGGTGGGGGCAGGTGTTCTTTTGTGGCTTGCATTATCCATCCCAAACTTTTTGACTATGTTTTTGGTGTATTTACTTTGAGAGATGAAGATGGAGTCTTCCATTTGCTTGACTTGTAACCCAAGAAAGTAGGTTAATTCTCCATACATCTTTTCAAATTCAGACTGCATGTGATTGACAAATTGCTTCACCATCTTTTCTGACACTCCACCAAACACTATGTCATCCACATAAACTGAGCTATCATGATTTCCCCTCCTTCAGTTCTTACCAAAGACGACTTCAATATCTTTAACCTGTTCAAAAACTTCATGTCTAGATAATGTTCTTGGTGGACTCCATATTTCTTGTTCACCATTAAAGCGGATCCTGTTCAATCTAAACATGTGTATGTGTTCCACCCAGAAAGTGTGCCCATACCTGGAAAGTCACTAATCATCCACATCAAATTTGCATTCAACTTGAACATCTCTTTCTTGAAAGAATCGTATGTATCCACACCATTTGTCCATAACTCTTTCAGCTCTTTGACTAAGGGTTGTAAGTAGACATCAATATTATTTCCTGGTGCTTCTTTTCTGGGAATTATCATTGACAATATAAATGATGTTTGTTTCATGAAAACCCATGGAGGAGTGTTATATGGAATGAGAACAACTGGCCAAATACTATTGTTTGTACTCATCACACCAAAAGGATTAAAACCATCACTAACCAATGCAAGATGCACATTTCGCGGATCTGATGAAAACCAAGTATGTGTCAAGTCAAATTTCTTCCAATCTTTTGAATCTCTAGGATGCCTCAACATTTCATCGTTGTTAGCATTTGTTGCATGCCATCTTATATCCTCGACCGTCTTTGATGACAAAAATAATCTCTATAATCGAGGTTTTAATGGAAAATAACGAAGAACCTTGGCAGGAACTTTTTTTCTTTTTCTTGCTAACAAAGACCGATTCATTTGTATTCCATTTTGAAGTGTTGCAATTTTTGCAAGTCTCCCTTTCTTCATCTTCTCCCCAATAAAGCATAGAACCATTTGGACATGCATGTATCTTTACATAATTCAAACCAATTTTTGTGATTGATTTCTTGGCTTCATGTAACGAACCTGGAATGTTTGCATATTCAAATGCATCTTTAATTAACTCTAAAATCATTGTCATTGACTTCTCACTCAATCCACATAAACACTTTATATGATACAACTTAACCAAAAAAGATAGTCTTGAATATCGTCTACACCCTTCATACAAAGGTTGTTCTCCTTCTCTAGTCAATTCATAATACTCCTTGGTTTCGTTTCTTTCCTGACTTGCACTTAGCATCACATAATCTTCTTGGCCAAACTCTAAATTTGATGCAGATGTTATTTCATTATCATGATTCATATCAACTCCAAATGCATCGTTGATCATGTTATAAATAGTATCTTCGAAAATTATAGTATCTTCAACCATATTTTGAGTAGTACTAGGGGAGATAGTACTAGGTACAACAAAGGACTCTCCATGATGAATCCACATGGTGTATCCCTGTGGAAATGGTGACCACATTAAGTGGTCAAACATGTCACTCCTACTCTTTGATTTTTTGAAACTGCAGTGTTTGCAAGGGCACATTACTACGTCATTTTCTTTTGCACCTTCAAATGCAAAATCAATAAATTATTTTATCCCTTGTTGATATGCAATCGACGATTGTGGCTTAGTAATCCATGACTTATCCATTTCTTCAAAAAATAGACATAGATAGATACAACAGTAAAGCTCAAAGCAAATCCTATATAAAAAAAAAGCAAACACTCTAAATACAAATATTTACAGCAACAGAATCAGATGTCATATAAAGACAAAAGTTACACTCTAGCCTCATAATCACAAACTAACCAAAATGAACCCAATACATACATTTAATTTTAAATAGGATATCAATGTAAGTATTGAAGAAAACCTTTCAATATCCATTATTTTCATTTTTTAAAACAATAACTATTTATCTACATACATCAGAAAATCTGATAAACTACACAAGGTAGCACTCAAAGATCCTAAGTGGTTAGCAGCTATGAATAATGAGTATCAATCCCTAGGGAAGAATCAAACATGGGCTCTCACTTCCTTGCCTCCTAACAGACATGTTATTGGCTGCAAATGGGTGTTCAGGATTAAACAAAATTCTGATGGGGTCTTCTATTGATACCATGTTAGAATTCTATATTATTACTGATCGATAGAGATAATTCTCAATTGAATTACAATATATGTGATCTATTTATAGACTCACACAACTAGGAATTAGTCCAAAACAATTAGATAATGCAAGTATACTACAGCTAGTGCTGAGTAGTTGCAATAGGAATTACATTGTATGAGTTCCTTTAATATTTATCAAGTGAAATGAATTGTGTAAGTGGCATATTTTCTCTCATTAAAAGTAGTTAATTAAAATATTTTTGGTAAAATTTAGAAAAAAAATTGTTAGCTCAAATATTACTTGAAACAATGTATATAGAAAGTTATAAGCTAGTGAAACATGCTCTTGACACGCCTTATGGTTAGGCATAATTTTGTCAATGTGCATGTACAATTGAAATTAAACATTGAGTTTGTTCCCATTGGGCTTCTGTTATCTGCAAATTTCTACAAGGACAATTTTGTTTATGGAAATCAGTTTATCATTTTTTATTTACTTAATGTAGTATCATAAAATATGTCTTTGATTCTAATTATAAATCTTCTCAATATTTTTGGAATTAACTTGTCTGGTACTAATTATGACTGTGAAAATTAAATACAGGATAAGAAACAGCCACCACACTAGTTTCTATAATTACTCCAACATCATAAAAAATGACTTTAGAAACTAGGGATATTTACTGAGCATTATTTAGGAATATTATATTATGATATAAATTAAACTTTCACTCATAGATATAATGCTACAGGACATGATGACAACTTCTAATGTTGCGTAAACTTACTGCATGATGCATGTGCACTTGATAAATATTAACTTGTCTGGTACTAATATTGGAGAGTTCATGATGTCAAGATACCGAGAAGTTTCCAAAATTGTTCTTAGATATCTAGAGCATCAGGATCGACTTGTTCGCTTGAGCATAACTTCGTTGCTACCTCGGATTGCACATTTTCTACGTGATAGTTTTGTTACCAACTATTTAATTGTATGCTAATTTTTCCTATTAATTGATTTTTATACTAGGACGAGAATGATGGATTTTGTGATATTTCAAAATTTTACTTGAGTGCCTATTGAAATTAAATTTTGTGCAGATATGCATGAATCATATTCTTTCCGTCTTGAAAATTCCTCAAGATTGTGATAGTGGGTTTATTGCTCTCGGAGAGATGGCTTTAGCACTGGATGGGGAACTTAGCCATTATTTTCCGACCATATGTACTCATTTACGCGAGGCAGTATGTTACATTATTGATGCCAGTCTTGTGCCGTATTTTTTTTTCTTGCTGCTTGTTTCATATCTTGTTTAAAGGTTGGTTATTTTTATGTTCTATAACACATGACAATGCCATCTTTTGACAATAGGTATTTTATAAATGCAGATTGCTCCCTGTAGGAATAAACGTTCACTTTAGGCCTTGGCATGTGTGGAAAATATAGCAAAAGCAATGGGGCCTACTCCTGAACCTCATATTCGCAGCCTTCTGGATGTTATGTTTTCATCTGGTCTTTCGAATGTTCTTGTGGAAACTCTTGAGCAAATAAGTATGAGGTATGAGTCCAACTTTGAACATAAATTTCAGCTATTCAGTAATTAGTTTATAAGTAGTTTCTATCTTTGTTATTAAGCATTCCATCTCTGATGCCAACCATTCAAGACCGGCTACTGGACAATATATCTATGGTTCTTTCTAAATCTCCTTAAGGTTTTGTATACTCTTTTATGTGTGAACTTCTGTCATGGATTATGAAGTCCTCATCATTTATGTTGTTGCAAATTAATTGCAACTTCTTTCTCTGGTATTGCGAGAGCACATTTTGGTTCTTACAGGCTGTCTCGATCAGGAGGGAAGCGCCGCTGTCTTGTTGAGGAGGTTTGTTGTTTTCCTATTTTTATTTTTGATCATTATTCCAATTTATTTATTCTTGAAATTTTTGAATCACTGAAAATTGAAAATCACAGGTTAACAACCTTTTTGTAATTGGAGTCCTCATTATCCATTGTCTGGTTTAGTGTTTAGATCTTTGTCATACTTGCAGAGAGACTAGAATGCTTTGTGGTATTGAAGACTGTTACGGTGAGAATAGGATATCAAATTATTAATTAATTTGAATCACAAATCTTTGATTCACAACCGATCTTTGATTTATCCGAAGGAAAAGATCAAATGAAGGAAAACCTAATTTTTGCATCGTAAACAATGCGGGGAGAGACCTAGGTAAGGGGTCGGTTAAGTGTTAGAAAGTATTTGCGGTAGTGTTTTATCGTATCCACAGAGATTGAAGTGAATATATGTGTGTTGTTCAACGGTTTAGTAACTTAAGAGTAGGGGGTTTTTAGAATGGTATCAGTATTTGGGACAAAAGTTTGCAATAATAAAATCGGAATAAAAGTCGATTTTTAAGTTTGATAAAAACATGTCAAGATTAGGTTTCGCTAGTCCGTCCTAAATGTATCTACCAAATCAAATATTTGAACGAAGTTCTAAAAAATATAACCGCGTATTCTCGCAAAATCGTTTATTGTAACACCCCCTTTTTATACCCCAAAATTATATCATATAAATCATTTAGGCACTTAATAAAAATTCATCAGAGTTTAATTATATCATGGTATAAAAGAGGTGTACCACATTATCATGAAATTAAACATATGCAACACCTGCTCATTTAGATATGCAACAATGGCAGCTCACAAACAAAGGAATTTAATCCTAAACCCACATTGCAATATTTAGAATAAAAGCGAAAACATCTAAACATTGAATCAATTCATTCATATAAACATATATATATACATCATTCAGTTAATTCATGTTTACAAAACATTCATCAGCAGATACATACACAGATGTATCACAAAAGAATCAAAACAGATCCTAGCTACCCGATGTTACATATCTGAGCCATCTGCCCAAAAAGGATAGAAGCCACGCTTCACAAAAGACCACCAACCAACTAATCTGCAATGCCTCATAGAGCATTATAAAACAGCAGAAGGGTGAGAAACATTATCATAAAATCAATGCATATAATTATATAATTATTTTAACATAAAGATATACACAATTCACTTTCTCACCACATCTATCATATCTCACTCATATACTTCACAATACATACGTATATAATTTCAACAAATTCCCACTATTCCAAATACTCCACACAAACATACACGATATGTTTATTCACTTCAATTCACCTAAACATCTACAATTGTGTTTAGTTCACCACTCCACAAATCATATTCGTTTCATATAATCATTTACATTTATGTTTATTTCACCACCACATCATATAAAGACGATATATGCAACTCATAGAGGCCAACTCGCTACTCTATGCAAATACAATACAGTACCTCTCAGTCGTTCGGCGGATTCTCCTACGAATCCAATTACTCCCTCCCTACACAGGCACACAATCACTCAATAGATTCTCCTAGGAATCATATAACATCCCTCTCTACACGGGCATACAATCACTCAACAGATTCTCATAGGAATCAAGTCAATCAGCAGATTCTACGAGGAATCACATTGTTCAGCATACTCTCCGAGGAATCACATTGTTCAGCAGATTCTCCGAGGAATCACATTGTTCAGCAGATTCCCCGAGGAATCACATTGTTCAGCAGATTCTCCGAGGAATCAAGTCATTCATCGACTCTCACAAATCCCCATTCAAGATTATGGGTACATCACTTATACCCCACCAGGAATAACATCTCAGTTATTCTACCCCGGTATATACTCCACTAGGAACAACATCTTGTCATTCTACCCTAGTATATAAGAAATGCACATACACACATTTCACACAACAATTCTCAGCAATGCACACATATTCTCTATATATTCTCATGCATTTCATCTCATCTAATCTCATACGACTAACCTATCTCTTAAGGTACATTCTATAAGGTATCAATCATTCATCACCTTCATCATGCATTTTCAATCAAATCAAACAATGCATATATTTGCCAACGACCACAATTTCGCGGTTGAAAACCAATTTCTAAGATTCACGCCTTACGGCTACCCACAGCATAACGTACCACACGGCACACAAAACTTAGTCAATTAGATAAGAATTAAACTTAACCGAACCAAACAATCCGCATGGTCACCTTAATGATATTAAGCCCACACGTTCTGATCATAACACACCTGTGTTTAAACCTAAAGTACGTCAGAACAAACCTGTTGTCAAAAGACAGAAGTTCAGACAAAACTTTAAGGCAACTAACCCTAAAGGACCCAAAAAGATCTAGGTACCTAAGGACAAAATAATATCTGTTGCAGATGTCTTTAGCAGCAAAGTCAAGAGACCAATCATGGTACCTGGACTCTGGCTGCTCACGTCACATGACAGGAAGAAAGTCTATGTTCCAAAGCCTGGAACTTAGATCTGGAGGAGACGTCAAGTTTGGAGGGAACTAGAAGGGAAAAATAGTTGGCTCTGGAACTATTGGTAATGGTAACCTTCCTTCCATATCTAATGTCTTACTTGTTGAAGGATTAACACATAATCTATTGTCCATAAGTAAATTAAGTGACAATGGTTATGATATAATCTTCTATAAAAAATGTTGCAAAGCTGTAAGTCAAAAGGATGACTCTATCCTCTTTAATGGAAAAAGGAAGAACAACATTTACAAAATTAATCTTTCAGAACTTAAAGTTCAAAATGTAAAATGCCTTATGTCTCTTAACGATGAGCAATGGGTTTGGCACAAAATATTGGGGCATATTAGTATGAGACATATATCTCAGATTAATAAACCCAATCTGGTCAGAGGACTTCCTCACTTGAAGTTTAACTCAGATGTTTTTTGTGAAGCATGTCAGAAAGGAAAATTTTCAAAATCTTCTTTTAAAGCTAAAAATGTTGTTTCAACCTCAAGACCATTAGAGCTGCTTCATATTCATCTGTTTGGACCAGTGAAAACTGCATCCATCAGAGGCAAGAAGTATGGATTAGTCATTATTGATGACTACAGTAGATGGACATGGGTAAAATTTCTGAAACACAAAGATGAGTCACATTGTGTGTTCTTTGACTTCTGCAAACAAGTCCAAACTGAAAAATAATTTAAAATTGTTAATGTCAGAAGTGATCATGGTGGATAATTTGAAAATAAATTTTTTGATAAATTTTTTAAAGAAAATGGCATTGCACATGATTTCTCCTGCCCTAGAACTACTCAACAGAATGGAGTTGTAGAGAGGAAAAATAGAACATTGCAAGAAATGGCCAGAACCATGATCAACGAGACAAACATGGCAAAACATTTTTGGGCAGAAGCAATTAACACAACTTGTTATATTCAGAACAAAGTGTCTGTAAGACCTCTTCTGGAGAAGACTCCCTATGAATTGTGGAGGAATAGAAAGCCCAACATTTCTTATTTCCATCCTTTTGGATGTGTATGTTTTATGTTGAATACTAAAGAGAATCTAAACAAGTTTGATTCTAAAGCACAAAAGTGTTTCATGCTTGGGTAATCTGAACGCTCTAAAGGCTGCAGAGTATACAATACTGAGACACAGATTGTGGAGGAGTCAATTCATGTTAGATTTGATGATAATCTTGGCAATCAAAAGCCAAAGCAACTTGAAAATTCTGCAGATAGAGAAGTGCTTCTCACAGACTCTGAAGACTCAGAGGCAGATAAGGCTCAAGTGAAAGAACCAGAAGCAACGCCAGATTCTACTCCCTTGGCTGCTCAGATGGATAACTTGAACATTTCTGAAGAACCAACTGTTAAAGGATCATCAAGAATCAAATCCTCTCATCCAGAAGAAATGATCATTGTAAAGAAGGATGACCCTATCAGAACAAGGTCTTTTATCAGATCCTCTGGAACATCTTTATTTGGTATGGTGTCAGTCATTGAACCAACCTCAGTGGATGAAGCTCTGAAAGACAATGATTGGATAATTTCCATGCAAGAGGAGCTAAATCAATTCACAAGGAATGACGTTTGGGATCTGCTTCCAAGACCAAAAGGGTTTAATATTATTGGAACTAAATGGGTCTTCAGAAATAAGCTAAATGAGCAAGGAGAAGTAGTCAGAAACAAAGCAAGGCTAGTTGCTCAAGGATATATCCAGCAAGAAGGAATTGATTACATAGAGACTTACGCTCCTGTGGCCAGGTTAGAGTCTGTACGCTTACTTATATCTTTTGCTGTACAAAATAACATCACTCTATATCAGATGGATGTTAAGAGTGCCTTCATCAACCTCCTGGTTTTGAAAATGATAAATTTCCAGAACATGTTTTTAAACCTAAGAAATCACTCTATGGCTTAAAACAAGCTCCCAGAGCTTGGTATGAGAGATTGAGTAATTTTCTTCTGGAAAAGAATTTTATCAGAGGCAAAGTGGACACTACTCTCTTCTGTAAA